ATATTTTACTTAAAAAGTATATTGTTAAAATTAATATTTAAGATTTTATTAAAAAATTAGAGTTTAAAAAAATGAACATAGGCAAATTTGTCTGTATTACAATTTAAGGGATAGGTGTAGTTGGCCTGGCCATATTAGTCTGAATTGTTGAATAACAAATCTCAATCTAATTTTCTCTCTAATCTGGTTCCTCAAAATCAGCTAAACCTACTTCCGGTTCAAGCCCCTGTTAATTCTCCTTTTTATCTACTGCCATCTATGCCTATAAATCTGGAACCTAACAATGTACTCGAGAATTAGCAGCAAGAAACCCTTCAGGCTTTATTAGCTTTGGCCACTAGTCTAAACCCCCCAGTAGTATAAGTAATCACTACACCTATATTAGTATCTCTGTAGAGGACATTCTCTTGTTTGCTATGACTAAGCAGATCTTCAACGACCAAATAAAAATCTTCATCTTACAAAACGAAGAAAAGAAGAATTAGGAGAAGAGGAATTGGAAGAGGAAACTTTGGAACAATTAATGGAAGAAGAGGTAAATAAAGAAGAAAAGGTTGACAACTTCCCCAATACAGTAATAGACCTTCTGTTGTCTCTACTAAGGTTGTAGCCACAAAACCTAAATGTATTATCCATAAGAAAGTTCAAGAAAATGAATACCCCAAATTGCATCTTTGGTTTCTCTATATTCAATTGTTGCAGATATCCGAGATAAGCTCACAAATATTACTTATGGCTAACTCTTTCATATTACCTGTATTACAAGAAGAACTAGGTCAGAGTTTGCAGAAAAAGAAAGCTCCTACTAAAAGAAAAGTAAAGGCAAATATTAGCATCAGTACTGAAAAAAAGTTTACTGCCATTTATTGTGATGCCCAGGTCCTAGATTCAACTATTCCCCTAATCATTGATAGTGGTTTATTGGGAAGTATTGTTTTGTCGTATCTCTTTCGAGATCTAGATATTAAGATCGAATGTCACTTTACAGTGAATATGATAAATATCTATATTGAAAGTAAAAGGGCTTTAAGAGAGATATCCAACTTCCTCTTTAAAGTCAGAAGAATGAAAATCTGTATCAATATCGTCATTACAAATGCGAGATCGTATCAAGCTATCATTGGAAATGATTGGCTTTCTAAAGCCCAAGTCAGGATTGATTGGGTAGTGTCAGAAATGACCCTCACTTGGAAGGGTAAGGAACTCACCCTTCCTGTAGAATTTAAAAAGATCACTCATGTTCTTCTTGGTAATAATCACCCTATTACTGTTCACGACATTGATGAGGAAGCAGAAGAAGAAGAGGTCGAAGAAGAGTTAAAAATAGTGATAAAGAATATGAGGAAGAGGAGTTAGAGGATAGGATTTATGGATATTCTGAAATAGATAAAAATAAAACTTCTACTTATTTACCTTTACCTAGTCCTTCCAATATCTTGATTTTAGATTTCTCTATTGACATACATTATATCCTGCTCAATTTGCCCCTTCTACCTCTATTCTCTAATAATAAAAATATTAATATTTCACTATCAAACACATCAGTGTCTCACACAAGCCATCCTGTTTTCCTCCAAATTAACGTTCAGGACCTCTTACCTTCTACTTCTTTGGCCCTGCTCTTTGTAAATTCTTGTTCGTCTTCGATCCGGGTTGAGGATTGTTAACATAGAGAAATCCTTGTTTCTCCCCTAATTTGGATAATTTACCCCTATTAATTTATTATGATCCTGATTCAGACAGTTCTAGTGATGATGAGTAGTACTCATACCTAGACTTTAGCTTCCTAAAAGTGGAGGTGGATAGTTTTGACTTCAACGCAGATAATGATATCAACAAAAGATAATCGTGGAGCAAGAAGAAAGAAAGAAAAACAAACTCCTAAGGTTGTATATTGTTATAATGAAGCTGAAAATGCTTACTATAAGGAAGAAACTATCAAGTCTGACCTCTGGGAGTATATCACAGATGCTCCTGCTATTGAATCCCCAATTAGCAACCTCTTCGATTATTATTATAAAGAACGGCAAGATCTTTACAAAATTAGAAGTCTGAAGTCCATGCAACATTTTCAGCTCCAGCAATTTCTAGTTAATAACCTAGATCTTTTTACCTGAAAAAAGAGCCAATAGGCTGAACTAATTTTGTAAAGCATTAGATCAACACTGGCAACGCACTTCTGATTAAACAATATCTCTATTGACACTCCTTACTAAAAAAAATACTATCCAAAAAGAAATCAGCCATATGATTTCATCTGGCATCATTCATCCTTGTCAAAGCCTCTGGACTTCCCCTGTTGTACTTGTTTTTAAGGAAGACAGAAGTACTCAGTTCTGTATCAATTATTATAAATTAAATACCATCACCATCAAAAATAATTATCTCCTCCCTCGTATCAATGATCTCCTGAACATCCTCTCTAAATCATGTTGGTATAGCTTCTTGGACTTTGCTAATAGATACTGGCAGATCAAAGTTGAAGAATCAGATCAACTGAAGACTGCCTTTACAACTCCTTTTGGCACCTTCTAATTTAACAATATGCCTTTCAGCTTGGCAAATACTTCTGCTACATTTCAACGCTTAACAGATTATATCTTCCAGGACTTGATCGCAAATATGTTGTTATTTACTTAGATGATATTAACATCTATTTCAAAAATTTTGAAAACCACTAAACCCACCTGGAAGAAGTTTTCTGTCAATTAAACTCTACTGGTCTTAAGTTGAAACCTACCAAATGTCACTTTACTAAGCGGGAGTTAAAATTTCTAGGTATATAATTAGCCAGGTGGGTATCACTACGGACCTGAGGAAAATTGAAGCCGTCTAGAATTTTCTTATCCTCGTAATATCTGGTAACTTAAAAACTTTTTGGGTTAGTATTCTACTACCAGAAGTTCATTAAGGGCTTTACTAATATTGTGGTACCTTTAAACCAACTCCTAAAAATGGTGTTAGTTATAGATAGACTATTGACCAACAAACAGCTTTTGAAACCTTGAAAGAAAATTAACAACTGCCCCAGTACTTGCCTATCCTGATTTTTTCCAAACCTTTATCCTCTTTACCAACACTTCGGATCAAGCCTTAGATGCTATTCTTGCCCAAAATGATAATGCCCATTGGGAGAGAGTAATTTTCTATGCGAGCCACAGCCTTACTCCAGCCAAAAAGAATTATTCTGTCACTAAGAAGAAGTACCTAGCTGTTGTCTGGGCTGTTTAATATTTTTGACCTTACCTCCACAGAAACCGTTTCCTTCTATATACCTGTTTGCAATTAAACTCCAGCAGAATCATCTTGCTCGATGGGTTATGACCCTGATGGAATATTCTTTTATCACTGTCCATAAGCCTGGAAGATACCATACTAACGTCAATAGTTTATCCTGTATCTAAATAGATATTGTAATTTTAATAAATACTATA